TTAATAAAACACTTTCATGTAAGCAATTTAGGCCATATTTCAAGCATCTGTTCCTTCTTTATAATTGTAGATTATGCTAATGTAGTGTACCTATAATCTTAATTTTAATAATGACAGGAAGCATAACTTTCTTTACTTTATGCCTCCAGCAGCACAAGTCAATCAATAAACTTTAAACCAATCCGTAACAGGCATCACATCCATAAATAAAGCCCTGACAGACACATGACCTCTTTCTTTGATGCGAAAAACAGTCTATTATAACGTCAGGGAATTTAAATAACAGTCCTGAGTAACGTGTTGAATAACTTGAAACAAAACTTGAAACCTTCCAGCTTTATCTTGTCAAATCCATCTACGATGATTACGCTGAAAAGAACAGAAATACGTGAAAGGTGATGGAAACCAACTGTTGTCCACATTAAATCCAGTACTATACGTATCTATATTTATATTAAGTTAATATACTGACACATTAAACAACCATAGTATACTTAATAATCAACACGGATCTAACACATGTCAACCGGATAAGCATCCCATAAATATACTGAAATACCAAAACCTTATAATTACACTGAGAAAATGACAAACCAGAATATTAAAATTTTCCAGAGTATAGGGAGGGAAACAGGGAGGAAAAATATTAGCCTCATGTCATTATTATAATTAGGATTATAGGTACACTATGTTAGCATATTCTACAATTTTATCACATGACAGGAGGCTTCATATTTTGCATTTTTAAAGCTGTGGTATGAGCGAGAAGGATGCGTGTGTGGTTGACGAAAATATACGGAAGTAGTCTATCCGTGTCCAATTTGTCGCTGTAAAATATAGAGGCCCCCGTGAAGGCCTGAGAAGCAGCCGCGCCTTGTACCGAATGAGTACCCGAAAAACACATCTCCACCCCGCTAGCGATAAAAACCAATGAACCCATCTAGACAGAATGTTCATGGTAACTGGCTTATATGGTTGGTATAAGACCAGCAGATGTCCTGAATGTGACAATCTAGGTGTTGTCGTGATCTCCATGTAACAAAGTACCGCTTTAACTGCACAAATACTGGGAAAGAACCGGGAACAGGGTAAGATACGGACGCGGATAAAATTTAGTTCTACGAGACACCGTAGAAATCATTCCTTCCGGTGATACCGAAAAGACTGTCTACGTGGAACTCCAGTACATCCGATAACCAACTAAAAGACCTAAAAGTAACGTGACTATGGCTGACGGCTGATGGCTGACGGCTGACGGAGGGATAGGTCTGTGTTATATGACTAGTTCCAAAAGAACCAAATCAAAGTCCAACAACAGTGATACTTTGACACATGGTTCTGGACAGTTTGATACCTCGCAGAAAGCGGCATATCAAAGGCTCCTGATCGACCGGAGTGTCGTGAATCATACTATGCATCGTCGAAATCGCGGAACGTATCCAGTTAATGGAATGGTCCGATCGTTCTGATCGGCCCACAGTGAAAAGGTATGATAAAGATTCAGCATCGAGGAGATAGGGGTAATAAAGGGATCGCAGTCCCTTCCCATACACCAGCGAACTCCAGGTGTTCCATGCGGATAAGTTATTTTGGGAAATACCTGGTGTCCATGAGTCCCATAATAGGTCTCTAGTTGGTTGCGATAGTCCCTTGACATGCCAGTCTCCCCTGAAAGACACAAATCCACCAACTCCAGACGCTCCTGCATTATCAATGGATGATGTTCTACTTTTGGATCTGCCCGAAGGCAAGTTAAAACTGAAGGAGCAGAGGATGATCCCGATTAAGGACAACCATTCTGGGTGCCACGCTTGACCCCTTTACCGCGGTAATGAGTACTATCGAAGTCTTCACTATTCTGATCACAATTTCATAGGTGTGTCCGGATCTCAGGCAGTGAGCTTTCAGCCGCTGTCTGGTCCGGTAGTGAAGCGGTCCTGGGAAATAGTCAAAGGGTTATGGTGCCTTTCCGCCGTACCCGTCGAATTTCCTTACGAATCGTCGCTATCAATGATGTGGGAAGGTGTAATCTGCCCAAAGTGGAATCTATTCCGAAGTAGAGGAACTGAATCACTCGGAACTGGGATCGAACCGACTCCTCTCTGTTCACTATGAATCCCAACAATTCCCGAAACTGTAAACATAAATCTCGTTTGTAAACATAGTCAGAAATTGGATTTGCAAAAGGTCAGTAAGTCATCTAGGTATGCGACAGCGGATACCCTTTGCTCCTCAGTACGCCGTGACCGGCTTCAGAAACTTCATGAGGCACCATGTGAACCAGTAGGTAAGTGCCCTTCAAATCCAACCTTGCGAACCCCTTTCGAGTAGTAGATCCCCTAAGAGATGGATACCTTCCTTCTTGAGTTGTCGGTACGCCCCAAAACCATTGGGTTGGCGTAGGTTGATGAGTGGGTGATAGTCTCCTGTCTTCTTCCTTACTACCAAATTGTTGCTGAGATAAATGGTTCTCCAAACAATAGTCTGTCTGCCTGAGGTCCTCGCTCTTTCGTACCTAACTTCAATAGTTTAAAATCCATCTTTAATAGGGCTGCTTTGCGCCGTTCTGTGCACCTGTCTGCCTTGCATTTCCCAACCTACATATTGCCCTTTGCACCCATTCCCTCACATCGTGAGCTTCTAGAGGAGAGACTTGGGTGGGATCAGGTCCGTAAAGTATAGAATTTTTTCCCGGGGCTGATCATGTCCAGTATTTCATCCTAACTCGTTTTGAGTCCTTCTCCTATACCTTTACATGGACCCTGGCCTGATCGGGACATAAATATCACCACAGTGATACCGAGCTCCATGGTGAGGACTATCTTGTTCGGTCATAGAGGGCATGGGCATTCCACCCTGAGCTTGTCTCGGACTTCTTTTCCCATAGGCCTCCTGAGCCAGAAGTGGGCAAAGTGTGCCTGGTGCTCCGGTAAACCCCATTCGGATGACCCTGGGTGTCGGATGGTGCATGAGTCAAAACAAGAGTGTCCAGTGTGCCAAAGAAAAACCTTTCTTGCTAGGCAGGTCTTGTCACTTTACCTCTTCAGATGGAGACTCTTCTGCTCTCCAGTCTTTCATGATCTCCAGAGAAGGGGGAGGGATGAAGTACTCGTCCGCTGATGATGGAGCCTGAGATGATTAATGGACAGGACGTTCTGAGAGATGGCTCCACTAAGTCGGGGTGTTCCCTTTCCCCTTTGGAGAAGCCGCGTTGGAGCTAAGACCGGGATGAGGGGTCTGCAATGTCGGGACGTTGCCCGAGTATGGGAGAGGTGTAAGCCTCAATATGTCATCCTTATATGGCCTAGAATTGTGGAGTTTTGGCAGCACTGTGAGTTTTCCTTCTCGGATAAGGGAAGGGCGTACGGATCCCCCAGTTGAAGCATAGAGGTGTCGGAATACATGCATCTAGTGCACCCTGGTCTGTGCATACAATGACAGAGCGTACTCTTAAGGTAGAAGTCCTAGAAAGGGTGCGGGGGGTCACTCTGTCCGGCAGGGGGGTCACCCCTTTGTAAATATGCCACTAGCACCGGAGTAAGACTCGCTTGGGGGTCACTCAGCGTAGGGGGTCACCTCTGTATGTATGTCTCTTATGGCATGTTGGGACACTCTTTCGGTCTGTGGGGTACTGAACAGGTGTCAGGTACGGTAGTACACTGATTGCCACTTAGTGGGCCTCCACGTACGACTGGGGGTCACCCAGAATTGTTTCAATCAGTACCACGTAGAGATTTCCTGGGAGTGGTCTGAGGAGGGGGTCACCTTAAATAAGACCGGGATGAGCGGTCAGTAATGTTGGGACGTAGCCCGTGTATGGGGAGGTATGGTAGCCTCCAAATTATCCAAGGGGTCACCCTTATGGGATATAGTACTGTGGAGAATTAGCAGCACCGTGAGCTCTCCTTCCTGGCTCTGTCAATATACATGTATCCAGTGTGTCCCAGTCTGTGCATACATTAACAGATCGTACTCGGATATGAGCCCGTCCTAGGGCGTGGGGGTTCCTCCCAGTATATATATGTCACTAGTACCGGAATAAGATTCACTTGGGGTTCACCCAGCGTAGGGGGTTCACCCCAGTATATGTATGTCACTAGGACAGGAACCAGATTCGCTTGGGGGTCACCCAGCGTAAGGGGGGGTCACCCCTGTACCACAATGTCACTTTGGAGAGGTGTCTGCCACGCCTGGGGGTCACCCAGCATAAGGGGGGTCACCCCTGATAATCACTCCGTTATGTGCCTCCACTACGGTGTCCTGGGAGGTGTATCCCTGTGGGGAAGGAGTGTATCCAGTGGTTGTGAGGTCCAGTGCGAGTAGGGAGCTGAGTAAGTTATCAGCTCTATTTAATTTCCCTGCCAGCAGATAGAGTAATGCATCCACTATATGCCTACAGCAGGGAACAGTCCACTCATAATCCTCCAGACGTACAATAAAACTGTTATTCAACATGTCAATTGTATAGAACAGAATAGAGCAAACTGCCAGCAGACATGAGTACTGCATCCCCTATATGCACACAGCAGGGAACCGTCCATACATATTCATGCAGAATTACATATAAAACTTTTATTTCACATGCCAATGAAATATGACAGTATAGAGCTCAGCAGTGAACAGTTCATTCATAATCTTCAAGAAAAGGTACATATAAAACCTTTATTCAACATGCCAATGATATGTATTAGTATTGAGCTCAAAAGTACTTGTAAAACTTTTATTTCGCAGGAAAAATATTTTAAACAGTACAGATCTAGCTGCCAGTTTGTGGGAATCATGAACAGGCTAAACAACATGGCCGACGTGAATCTCGCAAATTTCAAGAGGGCCGCCGTTCACGTGTAAAAGTGTTGTGTGGCCCGCGATCGAGGATATGATCGCAGCCTGCTGGTATGGAACAGAGTCCCCCCAAGAACCCCAAACCCCAGAGACCTGCCCTGAAGTCCCAGCACCAGTGAATAAAAAAGCATGCTTGCGGTAAAACGCAGGGATCGCGGTAAAAAATCGCAATCGCGGTAAATCGCCGAGATCCGTGCGAGACCAGAGTAAAGCATAGGAAAGAAAAGGTGCCAGCAACAGAAAACCAAACAGGCTAATAAAGCAGAAAATACAGGGTTAATTTGGGGGAAGGGTAACAGGGGGAGAATATCACACTATACAAGTCCAAATGGAAGGCAAGTGAAAAATAATGAAAAACGTTTAGGCCAAAATTGCAGGACAAGCTAATAAAGTTTAACTAAAGTGGCCATGCATATCCAGAAACAGTTTGGAGCAAAACTGAATGTCTTACATTAAAAATTTAACTAAAGTGACCATAGCAATATTAATAAAAACAGTTGGAGCAAACAAAGTCAATTAATAAAGTTTAATTAAAGTGACAATTGCAATATCCAGAAAACCAGTTTGGATTAAAACTGAATGTCTAGCATAAGGTGTCTAACTACAGTGACCAAAGCAATATTAATAAAAACAATTTTCAATATCAGTAAAACAGTTTGGAGCAAAATACTCTGACCTGTGCCTTGGCTGGTAAGCAGCAAAGAAAGAGGAGGTCATGTGTCAGTCAGGGCTTTATATATGGATGTGATGCCTGTTACTGATTGGTTTAAAGTTTATTGATTGACTTGTGCTGCTGGAGGCATAAAATAAAGAAAGTTATGCAAAATATAAAGCCTCCTGTCATGTGATAAAATTATATTTTTCATAGGTTTATTTTCATATTAAGTTTTATACCTGATCCATGTGCTCTAACCTATGATATCAGTAATAATGTGATTCTTTTAAATGTAATATTCAAAGTTGGAGCTGCTAAAGGCAAGTGCCTTTTAAAGCGATGCAATTTTCTGATTCGCATCACTTAAAGGAAAATCAGACATGAGAACCTTGACATAGATCTGAATAACTTTCTAAATGTAAATACATTTTACATGAAACTAAAACCAATTTTGCATTTGCATTCTGTGTTCAAGGACAAGTCTGGATTACACAAATATTTACAAATGTATAGAAAATAAAATATTCTGCTAAAGTCATAGGTGTTACATTGCACCTGAGGCGTAAAACACATTTTGGCACACCATGCCACCAACTGTAATGATAAATTATTTGTATTGCCCTCTGCACAGCCCCGGATCCCCTTTTTTAGGGAAATTACACACACATATTGACATTCATATGTGCATACACTTACATATACATACGCATTAAAATTCAAAAATACGTTCATGCACACACAACCATTCATATACACACACATGGAAACATATACACAGACATACATTGGTATTCACCCCCCTTGGCATGTTTCGTGTTTTGTTGCCTCACAACCTGGAATTAACATGGATTGTCTGAGGATTTGCATCATTTAATTTACAGAACATGCCCACAACTTTGAAGATTTTTTTTTTTTTTTTTATTGTGAAGCAAACAACAAATAGGACAAAATAACAGAAAAAGTCAATGTGCATAACTATTCACCCCCCTAAAGTCAATACTTTGTAGAGCCACCTTTTGTGGCAATCACAGCTCCAAGTCGCTTTGGATAAGTCTCTTTGAGCTTGCCACATCTTACCACTGTGATTTTTGCCCACTCCTCCTTGCAAAACTGCTAAAGCTCCTTCAAGTTGGATGGTTTGCGCTTGTGAACAGCAATCTTTAAGTCTGACCACAGATTTTCTATTGGCTTTGACTAGGCCATTCCAACACATTTATATGTTTTCCCTTAAACCACTCAAGTGTTGCTTTAGCAGTGTGTTTGGGGTCATTGTCCTGCTGGAAGGTGAACCTCTGTCCTAGCCTCAAATCACGCACAGAGTGGTACAGGTTTTGCTCAAGAATATCCCTGTTTTTAGCATCATCCATCTTTCCCTCAACTCTGACCAGTTTCTCAGTTTCTGCTGAAAAACATACCCACAGTATAACATATAGTCAAATATACATATATATATATATATATATATATATATATATATATATTATTTCGTTCTAACTGTATTTTGATATCAATATATATATATATATATATATATATATATATATATATACTTATATATCAAAATACAGTTAGAATGAAATTACGCACATATATATATAAATTATTCATTTTTATTATCTTTTTATTTTTTATTTTTAACGTATTTATATATTTATTTAATACAGATCATATCTATAGATCATATCTATAATTCAAATATATATATATATATATATATATATAATCTAAGTATATATTATTTAATTTTAAACTGTTTTTAACCTTTACTTTACTTTTTACAGGCAGCAGGGGGACTACCTGTCATTCCAGGCACTCCCCCCTGCTGGCGCTGCAATGGACAGCTTTTCCGTCCATGTGATCGTGAGGTCCTTGCAAGGACCTCGCGATCACGTGGCCCAGGGGGGGCGGTCAGACGCAGGGGGACTGTCTGCGATACCAGGCAAGTCCCCCCATCGCGATTGCCGGCGGGGGATCGCCAGCGAGCAGGTAAGTCCCCTGGACGGAGGGGACGTACTATGCCACCCGCCAGCATTTAGAGCTGGGTCCCCAAGGACGACATAGGATGCCCGCCGTCCTTAAGGAGTTAATCTACCTCTGGGGCCAGGTATGCAGAACTAAAATGGTTTACATCCTAAATAGCAGAGAATTGAGAAGTGAGACTAGAGGGGCATGGTAAATGCACCACAGCCACTTAAGTTAGCTAATGTTGTTTTCGTACTTAGACTAGCCCTTTAAGTAGAAATAACAAAACTTGCAGAGTATGCTACCAAGTTAAAATATTATTTGATTTACTAAGGGTCACTCTGTGCCCTGTACTTATACATCATTGCAATATTGTGCAGAGAATATCATGCTCACTGTATCCATTTATAGAGTGGTTTACAAAATCAATGATACTTCAAAAATGTTCTTATGCATGTTTGTGTTGAGGCTGCATGGCCATTAGTGCACACAGTTTAAATGGACCCTCTTGGCACCTTAATAACTTCATAAAAATGAATTTGATACAGAACCAGGAGGTCCATGGCATCGGCTTAGCTATAGGGGTTTAACAATTAACAGTCTCCTTTCCAGCACCATTTCACTCTGCTCCCTCCATCATCCTCTTTCTGAAAATCTTTCAAATGAAAGCCTTGGATGACCATGGGCAGGAGCACTGCTGATTGTCGAAGAGCAGCCAGCTGATGCTCCTAACCAATCAGTAGCTCCCCATTTACAAAACAACTTGAGAAAATGATGTATGTTTCTCCAGCTGTGTTTATGAATAGGTAGCTTATAGTGTCTGCTTAATTCTCTGGTTTCCAGACATTTATCTCCTCACACTACAACATTAGAGCTTACTTCTTAATGATAAAACATGTCATTATGTTAATTACATTAAGACTGAATATCAACCCTCCTTTCATTCCCGTCTCTCCTGGCCAATTTTGCTAATAAGTGCTATTCACTAATGTGAGAATTGTCTGAAATTCCAAGTGAATTTGAAATTTAAAACCAAAATAGACACATTGGAAGCATAGTTGACTTTTTATTTTTAAAATGAAATCCAAAGTGAATTTTCTTTAATGAATAATCCTGAAAGTTTCAAATAACTGGGCAAATGTTTTGTTTGCAAGTATGTCTCAGTGTGTTTTTAATATAAACTCCTATTCTATATTTTAAACTAAAAGCTGGGAAAATGTTCATGCCACTTCAGATGTAATATAAAATATATACAATGGTCAAACACATTCAATGGGAAAATAAAACCAGTTTGAGTTTCTTTAGGCCAAAAATGTGGTTCTGCATTTTTTTATTTTCCTTTTCTATCACCGTAACTTCGTTTATAACCTTTCCATTGTACACTGGAATATCTGATTTGATTAAAAAGAGTCACTTTATTCCCCATCAAAACATTGCACTATTGCAAAGATTGTGATGGTTTCTAGCTATTACCTGTAGTAATTTTGTTCTTGTTTTTATGTGTGACATCTGCATGTTACACACAAAAACTGGACTGTTCTCTCTGTCTTCCTAGGAGAGATAAGCTTTAAGTCTTACATCACAGATCTGCTTTGCATACACTCCTGTTTGATAAATGGTTAAATGGCTGCGTTGTTAGCGTTATCCTTCCTAATGAGCGGAACTGCTCTGAAAATGGACTTATTATCTGATAAACTGCTGCTGTCCCTAGCCTCTATCTTGTTAGGTAGGATTCTGCCCGTACCTGCACACAGACCCGCTGATCAGTCCTTCAATAGAAACGTTAAAGGTAACTAATTTGTTTTTCATTCTTTTTTAACTCTGCTTATAATGAAAACTATATATTTCTGTCTTCAAATATAAATAATATTGCCATGGTTAAATGTCTGCTTTGTTAGCTTCATCCTTCCTAATGAGCAGAACTGCTCTGAAAATTGACTTATCTGATAAACTTCTGCTGTCCCCAGCCGCTACCTGGTTAGGTAGGGTTATCCCCGTAACTGAACGTAGACCCGGTGATCAGTGCTTCAACTGAAACATTAGAGGTAACTAATATGTTTTTTTGTTTGTTTGTTTTTGCATTATTTGTTATGAATACAAATTTATTTTTTTTTCCTCCGAGGGTTACCTATGAATAAACAAAATTTTCTCACAAATAGCATTCTTCCATGCTTCACGTTTGACATTGGGTTGGCAAAATAAATATTCATGGAGCCAGTATTTGCAGTTGACATCATACACCACTATGGGGTAGAGTAACTATTTTTGCAGATTAATGGAATAAATGTAAAATAAACTATTTACATCTACATATAGAAAATTTATATTTTTTTTAAAACTCTGCTTATAATGAAAACTATATATTTCTGTCTTCAAATATAAATAATATTGCCATGAATCATATTTCAAATATGTGCTAACATATTTTATGTAGGAAGAAGGTCATATTGAAATATTACTTTTTCAAAATTATTTTAGCAGTTTTAAAATATATTCATACACAAAAAGTATATATTTTTTTCTTAGTTTCTATTTTTCATTTCTAACACTTTAATATGTCTTGTCATGTGGAAGTTAAATATTAATTAAGATATTTGAAACAGATTTCTACTTTCTAGTCTGTTCAAGTCAGATACAACACACATGTAACATGTGAATTCAACTTTCTTAATAGAGCTTGACTCTGGAAACCAACCTGAGTCAAATTTCTCTACTTTGCTTTTCAACTTGGGCAATCCTTTTATGTCTAATTGAAGAGCTATACATATACATGTATTTGAGAGGCTCCAAAAATAGCAAAGTTATAATTCAATCACTACTAAGTACTTGGTACATTATCCCTTCCACTGCCAAGGAAGGATCATAAAAAAAAGAATAATGATAAGGGACCGATATAGACCCCTTTACTAAATAATTTTCCAGAGAGTTAGCAACCTCCAGGACCATTAATATTCAACCAAACCCAGCCCTGTACTAAATAGTCTTACCAGTTTAA